TGCAGAACTAACTTCTTAATGATCTAGGATTACTGTTTTTTTTTTTCCTTGTTTTTTTTTTTTTTAGGATTTTCTGGAACTGTAGTTAATCTAAAACTAGGCTAACTCATTGTGCTGTGTTCATGGAAGTGTAAATTTTTTGAGCTAGTTTGGTGTTTTTGGTGAGAAACTTGTGTATTTGTCGTGGCTGAGCAAAACAATTGACTCTGAGTTTGCTTATATTGTGGTGTTTTAATTAATGCTTATTCGATTTCTAAAATTTATGTTTAAAGTTTCTGGGTTTTTTGTTGTTAGAATTTCTATATTTGGTAGCTAATAATTTAGTCTTAAAATAGCTTAATTTGGGTTTATGTAAGGAAAATTTTACTTTTGCTATCAGCAAAATACACGTATTTCACTTTTACTACCGGGGAAAATTTTAATTTTATTTTGCTACCATATAAAAAATAGTTTATTAAAAATCTCTACCACTTAACGGAATCCGTTAGAGTTCCGTTAAGTTTATTAAAAAAAAATTAAAAAAAAAATAAAAACCCAGCCACCACCTACAATTGCCAGCCCCCTCCTGTCAGCCACCCTCCCCCCTTCCGGCGCCGGTGACTCCAATCCCCCTCCCTTTCCTCCACTTACACAACCCACCCCCCTACTTATCTCCTTCTCGCTGCCCCAACCCCCACCCTGAATCTGGAAAACAACCCTCCCTCCCCATCCCCTCCATCGGAATCGCCCCCCTCCTCTTCCCCCACCCTGAATCGACCCCCCTCCCCTTCCCCCACCCAAAACAGCCACCCCTAACACTTAAACACCAGCCCGACACTATGATAAGTGTCATTTATGCCACTATTTAGGCCTCAATTCCATGTCATTCCCCTAGCTTGTCGCTTGTTGATGAGTGGCGTTTACGCCACTATTTCACCGTTTTTCACTAATGAATTTCCCTCATTTGTCACTTGTTTGTACCTCTTCTTACCGTTTTTACTTTTGTTTTATTTTTTTTGTTCTTTCTCGTGTTTTCCCTTTTCTTTTATCTTTCTTTTGCCTTTTATCTTTTGTTTATTTGTTTTGATAGCTCTTGGCACTCGTGGGCGGAATTTAAGTTGCTAAACGGAGCTGAAGTTTCCATGGTGGCTTATTCCAAGAAGAGGAGATGCTTAAAGGTGAGGGCGCGCTGCTCCAACAAGCCGCGGGCGCGGACAGGAAGGTCCTGAGCTGAACACCAGTTTCTGGAGATGGCTGGGAGAAGGCTTGGAGAGGGCGCGTCAGTAAAGGACGCGGGCGCGACGAGCTGGGTTTTCCCAACTTCGTACCCACAGCGGAGAAGGCGCGACAACTTGCTGGAGAGGCCTCTCCCTCACCCAGTTTCTTTGTTTTATCAAGAGACTATAAATAGTCTTTGGCTTGAATTTTCATGGAAGCTCACAAAATAAACAGAGGGCAGCAGCTTGGGGCGTGCTCTCTCTCTCCTCTTGGAGGGGATGAAACCCCTTGCTTCCTCTATCATTTTCATCAATTAAATTAGGGCTTAGATCTAGTTTTAATTTTTGTTTTGTGGTTTGTAATGTAGATTAGAGTAGATTAGAGAGAGAAAGTGAAGAACTTCAATGGGTTTTTGAAGAGATGAAGATGCAAATGTGACATTGTGTTTGATTTCTCCTAAACAATTCAATGAGCATTCTAAACTCTATCTCAATTTTATTGCTTTCTTTACTTATTGCTTTGTTTGGTTTATTGAATGTTTAGAGTAGTTGAATATTTCAATAGTTCCTCTTTGTTGCTTTTCCCTTGTTCTTGTTCTTAGTTTCATCATTGTACTTCTTTATTGGTTAATGTTAGTTGTTCATGTTAGTTTAGTTTGTGTTATTTCATTGTCTTGTTAAGAACTGTATTATATTGTTTTGGAAAGGGTTTTCTAGTGTATAGTTAAGCCCGTTATCTTGCAAGATCCTTGAAGTTAAACCTAGTGAGTTTCTTTGATGAGAATTTTGAGGAATGTTAAAGGATTATGAGAATCAATTTCCTATGTAAGTATGGGATGCACACTATCACATAGTTGTGAGTATTGTGTTTTGGGATAGTTTGTTGTTGTGACACCTTGTCTAGTTATTAAGAGTGCGTACTTTAGTTTTGTTCATTTGTCTATTGAGACACCAAAGTATAAGAATAAAGAGATCGATACTAATGGTTAAAGAGCTTGTAATTGGGAAATTTTTTGATTTTATATCCATTTTGAGGAATATGTTTTGTCTTTGAGCACGAGTTTGATTTGGGATCGAGATTGAACAAGAGCCCATGAGAAATAAGCATAAGAATTGTATAGAGATGAGTAATGATGAAAGTTATTATATGAGCTAAGGGATACTCAATTCGAAACAGTTGGAGTTTGATTGTGAACTTAATAATTTATAATTCATGATGACCATGAGTATTTATTCTGAGATGGAGGATTGAGCATATTAATTTAATAAATCATTGGAGTCTTGAAAATTTATGATTCTATAGAAATATTGAGGACTTTCGACTTGTTGAACGTTGAAGATATTTTCACATGTTATGCTAAAGTTATGGATGTTAATTATTTAACCTTGAGTTATGAAAATGATTATATTCTATAAAGGTCATTATACGTAGCAATGCTACCATTTGGGAGAACTCTTATATTTATTCACCTACTCTTTTAGAGTTGTTCAACAACCTTATAACCTTATAACATATTAGATTCAAATATGTTCCGAGCATGCTCGGGTACAGGAACCAGAGGGGTAGAGCCGAACCCCATCTCGGCAGACTGGAAAGTCTTGAAGAACTCAGCAGCCGAGGTAGAAGGCACTTCAGTATTTCTGGCTTCCTCAGCCTTCTTTTTAACCACGGTCTCCTTCAGAACATCTCCGCTCAAAATCTGCACTTTGTCCTCAACATTGACGAGCAGTGCGTCGACCTCCCTTTGAACCTCGTCAAAAAAGGGTTCGGCCACATGCCGAGGGGCAGAAGGAGGGGTGTTCATCAAAATTTCCTCCTCGGTGTGGACTTCGGCAGGAGGAGGAGTCATCTCTTTCTGTTCCTCTTGCTTGTCCTTCTCAAGACGAGGCTTCTTAACTAAAAGAGGGGCAGCCCAAAACTGCCCAGGATGAAGAACTTGCCTCTTTCTCTTCGGGCTTGTCATTCCTTTGTCTGATGAACTTTCAGGAGAGGGATTTGCTTCAGCTGACTATCCTCTATTCTTTTCTTCTTCGTCAAACTGCAGCAGAAGGAATAGGGGGGCAAAGAGCAGTATAAGCATAAAAAAAAACAAAAAAAAAAAACCAAGTCGAAGCTCAATACTTAGCAAAAATTTCGTGAAAATTTGAAGAAAAAGCTAAGTAAAATGAGTAAGGCAAAAGGAAAATAGAAAAAGAAAAGAAACTTAGACAAGTCTTGAAGTCTCACCGAAGTCTTCAGCAGGCGCTAGTCTTTAGAATCTTCCTCTTCTTCGGCTACTTCTACCCTCGGCCCAGCAATGGAGGTAGAAGGCTCAGGTCCACTTCGGGAGACCGCAGCGACGATAGTTGCAGCTGCGTCTTCTTCGGCAAAATGAAGGAAAAAAGGGTCGATCTTCTCGAACCAGGGCTTCTGTGTCTAGTACTCAAGAGTGCTGACTATTTGAAGTTGATAAGTCTATTTTATATATATTTATTCCCCGTCCCAATGGTCATAATTGTGTTTATATGAGCTCTACGGAGCCACTTTTATTACTAATGTGCGTTTTCTAGCGTTTCCATAGTTGTGGTATTGTTTTACACGAAACTGCGGATTTGGAGCATTTCCCCAGTCTTATTGGAGCCACTACGAGCATTGGAGTAGGAACACACTACTATGACCACATTCCGAAGCCCAAGGCAGCGTTAGAGAAATCAAACCGGTGATTAAGGGCTCCGTGAAGAAAAGAAGAGCTCGAGGCAATGGACTGTGTTTCAAGACTTAAGAGGAAATTCGTTCGGGCTAAGAAAATAGCCCAATTGAATAGCCCAAGTGGAGGTTCCATTCGCCTGACCGGGTAGGCTTCGCCCTGAGGCGCGCCGGGCCGGGCGAGGTATAAAAGAGAGGGCAAAGCTTCGCCCTATCTCGTGCCTGACCGGACGCGAGCGAAGATTAAAAGAAGAAAAAGGCGCGCCCGGCCGGACGAAGCCTTGCCCGATCGGGCGCGTGTTTTCAATAGGAATTTCGGCAATTTTATTTCTTCTTTAATTAGGATTTTTGAGCTGAAGTATAAATACGCTTTTTGAAGCGATATTTGAGCACCTTCTTCCATGAGTTTAATTCCTTAGATTTAGTTTTAAGCTTTTAATTAATACTCTTGATCCCTCTTGACACTTTTAGTTTATGCAATTCTTTACTTCCGTTCACTTTGGTAACGATTTCTTCCCCCTTTATTTTCAGTAATTTAATTGCTTTGATTTAATATGCTTGGTTTAATTGTTTTGCTTAGTTTAGATTTTAATATGTGTGAGTAGTTTATTTTCTAGGGTTGTGGGGATCCATAAATAATATAAAGGGGTAATTTATTATTGTTGATTGTTGATGTTTAAGATTAATTTCCTCACTAGACGAAAAAGATAAAAAGGCACCGGTTCAAACCCCCCCCCCTTTGGCACCGGTTTTGAATCGTTGGGTATTTGAGGGATGCCAAATCCATGAAAATTTGGCACCGGTTCAAAACTGGTGCCAACTAAAGCATTTAGCACCGGTTAACCGGTGCTAACTACATGATTTAGCACCGGTTAACCGGTGCCAACTACCATGGCGGTTTTTTTTTTTATTCAATACTATTTGCACCGGTTCAAAGCAAGAACCGGTGCAAAAAACCCCACTTTAGGCACCGGTTCTGGTCAAAATCGGTGCCAAAAATACCCCAACAAAATAAAAAAAAAATAAAAAAATTATTTTTGCATTTTTTCACTTAAATTGATATAGAAACATTAACAAATATATAAAGTTAAATATTTTCATTAAGAAAGGCTGTAATATTACAATATTTGTAGAAAAAAAATTAAATAATCTAGACTTATCTCTGATCGACCTTTCTTGCATTTCATTTAACTAGATGTCCTGGTCTTGTGCTGGTGGCTGCTATGCTGGCTGTGTTTCTGCCCTTCTGCCATCTACTCAACTGAGGCACCATTATACCAATTACTACTATCATACCCCTGATAACCACTATTATAATCATTAACTTTTGCTTCAGCTAGTTGGGCAATCAATTGAAACACAGAATGACAAAAGTCATGAAACTAACCTATAAAATGCTGCATTACTGTTGATCGCACCTAAAACTTCTATGACATAATCAGCATCAGCCTCTTGGGATAGTAAAGCTTCATCGTGTTCCAGTTTTGTCTCTACCGGCAAATGATTTGCACTACACATACATCAGTCTTGTGAATCATACAGTCAAAATACAAGATAAGACTACAACAAAGAGTAACAGTCAAATGGGGAGCAAACAATGGTAATGCTAAAATTAAAGGACAACTCAGCGAACATTAGCAGAATGGTGTACAGATACAAGCCAAAAAAAAATGAAACATAAAATTGTGCCTTGCATCACCTTTCTAGTCTCTAACATGATATATTGATAATCAAGGCTATACCAAAGTTTATAAGCCCTATAATAGCCTAGTCGTGTTTGGGACTTTAGGGTAGCCATCCCCTTTTTGCCAGAAAGATAATAAACTACTTCCTTAGTTTCTCAATTGATGCATCCTTGAGAGTTGGCACACAAACCAATAGAAAGGAGAGACAGAGTAGGGAAATTAACATAATTGCTTATGTGTTAACCTTTAGCCATAGCATGTAAAGTAAAAATGGAGTTGGTCCTCACTTAAGTTGAGGGAAAAAATTTTACACATAATTTTTTACTAAAAGGAAAAGGGATGCATCTATTGTAAAACATCCCAAAAAGGAAAGAGATGCATCAATTGAGGAATGGAGGAAATATGAAATTGTATGAGATAAGATTTAGAGAATAGACTATGCTAGTCCTCTGTTGATTCACTCAAATAATTTTATAAAGACATTGGAATTTATAAAGGTAAAAAATGATACTTAACTTGCCATACAGTGGGTTCTATCAACAGGAGGCTGACAGACTTGGGGAACACACTCTTGCTAATTAGCAATGTAGAACCCTAGTAATCATGTGCAGTTCCCATACAGCAAGTACATGCATTTCAAATGGACAAATGCAAGTTTGTGCACCCTTTCTTACCTCATATTCTTGCAGTCTTAAGAGCTAAGATTAGTGAGCGGATCATGGGCAATCTAAGCTGCAGAGCCAACAATACATTTCATTTGAGGGAGAAGCATGAGTGTCTCATTAGCATTCTGTTTCCTTCTAAACAGATATCCTACACCAATGATAGCTTAATCAACTAGACAGTTAGTATATTTACTTTTTACATCGATGATATATAATCCTTATTGTTCAAAACTGAGGGTAACATCTTCTGAGTTTCGTGGTCCCGAATATGACCAGGATAGCCTTGGAATTATGCATGGATAGCACTCCATACATTCCACAATATAAAGCTTAAAAGCTTGCATGCAAACTTAAATTAGAAAAGTAGTGCACCGGCTTTTACATGTCTCCTTGCTTAACAACCCCCCCCCCCCCCCCCCTAATGCCCCCATTAGCTGCTTCCCTTTGTATGCAGCAAAGACCCATCATTATTTCCCTATCATATACAAAATATAAGGCAATTCCGCACATGCGTTGCTTCTCAACAATTGAAACTAAAGAGAGACTTCCAGATGGTGCATACAATAGCTTGCAATAAGCAAACACATACCTTTGATCTGTAAGAACCCATATTAAGCTTCTGCCCTCTTTGATCCTCAAGCTCAATGTTGTAGTCATCAATAGGTAGCAATACATCACCATGTCTCTTGACAAGCATAGCAACAGTAAAATCACAATTAAATTCAGAAAATCAGCAGTAAATCAATTTTCATAGATTATAAAATGATAGATCTGACAAAGTAAACTGTACAGTCTTCGTGAATGTAGTCCAGCCACATTCGCATCTATTATATACAGATGATGAAAACCATTAATATACTACCCGATTCTCACCCACATACATAGAAGGCATATCATACTTACTGTTGAATAAATGAGGTCAACAATTTCTCATGTGTTCTCTATTTTTCTCAAGAGACGAGTCCACATCACCAACTAATTTCCTCTCACGCACAAGTTTATCTATTTATAACATGAGCCATTTCTTCATATATCAACAAAAACTGATAGAATTTTCAGGCTATGTATTTTTCACCTAGAAACTCCAATCATATCTGATGTAAACTAACCAACTTATTGGCCCTAACATAAACTTACTTTTAGTTATAATTGAACTTACCAACCCTTTTCTAGACTTATTAGCGTAAACAAATTAAAATAATTATAACCCAGAACATTTTTTTGAGGAATAAAAAGAGGCCTCAACACCTTCAAATCATCATACTAAGCAGATAAACTTGATCAATACACATTTTTAGCTTACAAATATCCTATATGAGGGTTAATTTGAGGAAAAAAAAAAGGCATTAAAATTTGAAGAACAATGTGTTATATATTGAGATTTATTGAGACTTGAGGTCTGACAGAGTGAGTGATAAAGGCTTTAGGCATTTTGTTTGTGAAGTGTTAAAGGCTTAAGCTACAAAATTATGAACTGTCCAGAATTCTAAATTGTGAAGCATATTTAGAAACCACCTAATGGTTCATTTTATGAACCGCTCTACAATTTTTGCGCAGAAAATGATCAAAAGAAGGTCTAACCCCCCCTCCCCCAACACACACACACACACAAAAAAAAAAAAAACTCACCATTCATCTACCTGCATCAATGTCTGTCCGTCTTAGTCAACTAAACATTGCCAGAAAATTGCAATAAAAATCACAATAAAATCGTAAATATAAACAACAATTTAATACAGAATTAGCAAGAAAATAAACTTATCTAATCCAAAAACTATAAATCGCAACAAAAAATTGAAAAAAATTTAGAGAAAACAACAAAAAGCAGTGTTAGCATGATTCATTGATTATATCAATCGACTCCAATAAAAGCTCAAAATTTGAATAATTCGGCAAACAAATTGGGTTTTCTACCTTGCATGATTATATCGACCGACTACGATAATTGATTATATCAATTCAAAGACGAAATTTTACCCAAAAATGTTAAAAAATCTCTCAAGTTTTGATAATAATTATTGCTCAGAAATATCAGGTGATAACTGATATCTAGTGTTAAGGAAAAATATTAGAAAAATTACCTGGTGGTCGGTAGCCGACGCACGAAGGACGGCTGAGGGGAACGGAGGGTGGCCGGCGAAGGGTGAGTGGCGGCGGGTAGGACCTACTCTCTCTTTCTCCTACTTATTTTGTTTGACAAAAAATAGAAATAAAACCAGAACCCTAAAATTACAAAATTGAAAACCAAATCAACGACAAACCCTAGGTTGCGAAGAAATTCGGTAGATTAAGAAGACCACAATGGCCCAAATCTTACCTCGAAGCTGCTTCAATGGAGTTGAGAAAACTCAAAATGCGCTTCAATGGAGAATAGAGAGCACGAGTTCAATGGAGGAGACATATGGAGACAGAAGGAGGTGCATGCAGCTGCTTCAATGGAGAAGGTGGGAATTCGGAGGTGGTGGCCTGGAAGAGAAGGTGAGAACGAGCTGAGGGAAAAAACAAGTTGAAAAATCAGGGGGAAAGAAAAGAAGAAGAAGAAATACGAGCTGAGAAGCCTGGTATTTTTTTGGCAGCGGTTCAAACCGGTGCTAACTACTAAAGTGGGCATCGGTTTAAGACGAATCGGTGCCAACTCTATTGCTTTCTTTGTTTTTTTTTTTTGGTTGGCACCGGTTTTAACCGGTGCTAATTAGATTAGTTGGCACCGGTTTTGGTTGGAACCGGTGCCAACTCTGAATTTTCCAATCCCGCCCATTTCTTTTGGCACCGGTTTTCAAGAGGTGCTAAAGGGGGGTGCCTATTTCAAAATTTCTACTACTACCTATTGATTGATTTAATGCTATGCAATTAAATTATGCCTGGTTTAATTGTATAAGTTATGCAATATTGATTCGAGATTCAAGAGATGAGAATTGATGTTTAGGCTTAAATTAGTTTCAATAGGCAGGTTAATTTATAAATGGTTAAGTCAAGATTCGAGATATGCGATTTAATACCAGTAGATTAATTATGTGATTATAATACGTAGCGAAAGCCCTTTATAATCTGATTAATTTATGCATTGATGATTGATCGTTGTGTTTTACCCTGGAGTTTTATTTATTGGTGAACCTATACCCTAGGCCTTTTATTACAGATTATTCCCTTAGTTTAATTGTTAGTTTAATTCCCATAATATAAATTGGTTACTCGATAATTTAGATTATAATTAATTAATTAGGAATAGAAAGACCTGTTTCTCTGTGGATTCGACCCTACTTCCCTATCTACTTTAATTAGTGGTTTTAGGAATTACTTTTGATTAGGTGATACGACTTTAGCCTGTCAAAATTGGCGCCGTTTCCGGGGACACGGTTTTATTTTTATTTCTGATTATTTTTGTAGTCTAAATTATTTTCTTTCGTCTCAGAGAACGCAAGTTCTTTGGGACAGTTTCTCATACTTGTTTGTTTAGTTCTGTTTTTATGCCCAGGAGTTCTTGATCAGGTTACATTCCGTTTGACCCTGAAATTGAACGTTCTTTTCATAGACAGAGGAACCTTTTAGACAGGTACAAGCTACTTCCGAGGGTATTACACCTTTGGAACCCCCATCTGATTCTAGTGACATAGAAGTTTATTCAGAACCAGAATCAGAGATGACGACTCAACCACCTCGCAAGCTTAGCGATTATTCGCAGTCGTCCTTGGTAGATTTCCCACACCTTGCCCCTACACCTGATCTCGAGGGAGTACAATTCGAGATTAAACCCCAGTTTATTACCATGATCGAAAGGAAGCAATTCAGCGGAGCTAAGGGTGAAGATCCAAATCTTCACATCTTGGATTTTTGCCAATATTGCAATACTATTAGGCAAGCTGGGGTCACGCAGGACCAAATCAGGGAGATTCTTTTTCCCTTTTCTTTATGTGGTAAAGCTAAATTATGGTATAATGGACTGAATAGAACTGCACTTGGTATTACTGACAGGGAAACTCTTGTTTTGAATTGTTATTACAAATACTACCCTACAGAGAGAACAACTTTATTAAGGAGTAAAATCCTAAATTTTTCCCAAGAAACAGATGAATCTTTATATGAAGCTTGGGAAAGATTCAAGGATTTGTAGAGAGAATGCCCTCATCATGGGCTAGCACAGTGGCAGATAATCCAAGCCTTCTACAACGGGATTGGATATAATTCAAGAATGATTTTGGACTCTGCAGCCAACGCAAGATTTATGAATTTAGATGTGAATATAGTGAGCAATGTTGTTGAAGAGATGGCTATTCATAATTCCCAATACGGGAATCCCAGAGGTTTTGCAAATAAGGGAAAACACCAAGTCGACTCTATATCCTTTTTGCAAGCACAATTGACTGCTATTAGCCAGAAACTAGACAATATTAATAATTCTAATTCATCTTCTGTTGCTAACATTCTGCTATTGGTACTAACTCTGAAATTAATTGTGAACATTGTGGTCTTGTAGGTCATTGGGCTCAGGAATGTACCAGTTCGCTTGAGAAAATTAATGCTTTTCAGGCTTATAAGCAAACTAGTCCATACTCTAACACCTACAATGCAGGGTTGAAAAATAACCAGAATATTTCGTATAACAGTACGAATGTGCCTAACCCCCCACCGCAGGTACAACAACCGCGACAGTGGTACTACCAACCTCCACATCAGAGACCACAACAGACTGTTACTCCTCCCTCTGATTCTGCCTTGGCAGAAATCAGAGCGATGTTAGTTAATATGCAGAAACAGGTGCAGGTTAGAGATGCGCAAATTGACTCGATCCTAGCACACAATAAAATCGTAAATAATCAAATTGCGCAACTTTCTTCTAGTCTGCAAGCTCGCCAGCAGGGAGCCCTACCATCGCAGCCGGTGCAACCTACAGATCACGTGAATGAAATTACGCTGAGAAGTGGTTCAAATTACGATGGGCCTTCTATGCCCAAAGATGATGAACCTATCATTACAAAAATTGCTAATCCTGATTTTGTTATACCAGATATTGTTGTTACCAACCCTGCAGGGCTCCAGAAAAAAACTAACTCTTCTGATAATAAATTGCAGGGTAAATCTCAAGACAAGAGTGGAGATGTGCAGAAACCAGTTATCAAACTACCATTCCCAAATAGACATCTTAAGAGTAAGTTGGATAAGCAGTTTGGTAAGTTTCTGGAGGTTGTCAAGAATTTGCAGGTAACAGTTCCTTTCACAGAATTAATTACTCAAGTTCCTACATACTCTAAATTTATGAAAAAGATCTTGACCAGAAAAAGATCTATTAGTAAGGTAGAGACAGTTGCTTTTACTGAAGAATGTAGTGCTATTTTACAAAATAAGTCTCCACCTAAACTAAAAGATCCGGGTAGTTTTTCTATTCCTTGTCACATTGAAAATTTGATGATTGATAAAGCTTTATGTGACTTGGTTGCTAGTTTAAGTGTTATGCCATTATCTGTGAGCTCTAAATTAAATATGGGTAAATTAAAAGCTACCAATATTACTCTGCAAATGGCTGATCGTTCTCTTAAATATCCTTTAGGTGTTTTAGAGGATGTACCTGTTAGAGTAGGATTTAAGCAGTCACACCAAAGAGGGACAGACTGCAGAGGTAACAAAAAATTACTATCAATTTCTTTGATTCAATACATGTACTGCAACTACAGAAAGCAGTCCAAAAAAATACATTCCTCCAAACCTTAAATCAATCAATCAATTCATAATACCTATACTAGTTCAATCAAAGAATACAACTAAGAATTTAACATGCAAAGAATTTCGCAATATGTAACATGCAAAACTGAAAGTGACATACAAATCGCAAGAAATCAACAAATTAACACATAATTTCTCCAGTTTTAACAAAAACTCAGCATATAATAATAAAATTGATACCTGAAACTTTCGATTTGGGTGATTACTCAATAGATAATCGAGCAGAAGAGAGAATCCAGCAATTCATATCAACTGTAAGCAATTCGAGCAGAAGAAAATAGAGCAGTAATGAGTAATCGAGTAATAACATTCGAGCAATCAATTGAAGGTGATTACATATGAAAACCCTAAATAAACAAGCCAATAGCACAATTTTAGCAATGGTAAAACCCTAGATTAACTATACTAACACAAATAATTAGCGAAATTGATATTCATTGATTAAAAAACTTCATTTATTAAAAAACATTACCTCAGAAGTTGTTTCAATGGAGGAGAAAGTTTAGAACTGCTACAATATAACGCAAAGCTAAATAACCCAAAAACCCTAACCTTGAGTTTCTGATTTTTGGTTTGAAATTGTTTCGAATTTGTTGTTGTTGAAGACGCACGCACATCGAATTGGTTCAAAATAGACGCACCCAGAAACCCTAACCTCTAATATTGTAGAAAGAGAGAAGGAGAAGGAGATCGAAAGAGAGAAGAAATGAAAGGGAAAGTGGCGGTTATGGAGATCGAAGGAGAGAGAAGGAGTTTGAGGAAAGTGCTGAGAGAAAGCTCAGAAGCCCCTTCAATGGAGAAATTTGAGTACGCTTCAATGGAGGAGAGAGAGAGGCAGATTAGATGAGAGAGGAGGAAAGATCGAGGAAATGAAAGTAAGAGAAAGAAAGAGTATATCCGGGTTTTTTTTATTTTACAATAGATTTCGCACCGGTTCAAATCGAACCGGTGCGATTAACTCATTTTTTTGCACCGGTTTGGTTAGAACCGGTGCGAAATCCCTTTCTCCCTGTTTTTTTTCTCTCTTCAAAAATCTTTATAGCACCGGTTTTTGCTCTCTTAAAAAATCTGTAAAGCACCGGTTTTCAAGAACCGGTGCGAAAAGTGCGATGCCTATTTCACTTTTTCTACTAGTGGTTTTATATACCTGCTGATTTGGTTGTTCTTGACATGGAGGAAGATTTGCAAATTCCAATTATTTTGGGTAGACCATTCCTTCATACTGCAGGGGCAATAATAGATGTGAAGAGTGGTAAACTTACATTATGCGTAGGGGATGAAAATATTATTTTTAATCTACATAATGCCCCTAAAAGCCCCATGTTGGAAGAAAAGTGCTATAGTATTGACGTGGTTGATGTACATAGTTTTTTTAATAAGCCCCAAGCTCACGTTAGAGATCCCTTAGAGGCGGTATTTTCTGCCACATCCTCCGTAGGAAAAGCCACTACATGGAAGGATGAAGTGGATGCTGTAGAAAAGGCTTTAAATTGTGTAGAGCTTGGATTTGAAGATGAACAAGCGGAGAAAAAGGAACAAATTGAGAAAAATCGGACTCCAATTGCTGTAGCGCGCCCAACCGGACGCGAGAGGAAGTCCGTATGCGAGCAATTTTTCCCGACTAGGCGAGATGGTGCCCGACCGGGCGCGAGAGAAAAGAGGATTTTTGACTAAAATTCACCCGACTAGGCGCGAGAACGAAGGGCGAAAAAAGAGTTAAACTCGCCCGATCGGGCGCGGGAGCGGGACTGTAAAATGGGCCAACTTCAAAATGCCATATCTTTTGCGTTTCTTAACGAAATTTTGCGTGTGAACTATTGTTGGAAAGATCTTCAAGT